CTGAAGATCTCAGGGTCTTAGAAGCTCTTGTGCCAGGAACTGGGGACTAAGACCAAATATAGCAAAACAGGCTCCTATGACCCCCCCCCACCCCCACTCAAGAAAGTAAAAGGGTTTTTGGAGCTGTTATGCATTGAATATCTTTGTCTTCTCTCTCCCAAACTCATGTGTTGAAATCTTAATCCTTAATGTGCTGGTATTAGGGGTTTAGGCCTTTGGATTATAATTAAGTCATGGGGGTAGAGTCCTCATGAATAGGACTGGTGCCCTTATACAAAGAGGCATGAGACGGCTTGCCTTCTCTCTCTCTCTGCTCTCTGCCATGTGAGGACACAGCAAGAAGACAGCCGTCCGCAAACCAGGAAGCAGCCCGCATCAAGCACCACATCTGAGGCGCCTTGATCTTGGACTGCCCAGCCTCGAGGACTGTGAGAAACAGATGTTTGTTGTTTAAGCTGCCCAGGCTATAGTAGACTGAGTGGCTAAGACAGAAGCTCTTTACTAGGAAACAGGGATGAAGACTATATATATATATATTATTATATGACAATATCACAAACAGGTATATAATTAATTATACATGGATATAAATATTTGCTTTGGGAAATGCCTCATGTATAAAAATTAATCTTCCATGTCGACAGGGGAGGTTAGAGGTGATGATAATACCAGACATTCACTGGGTCTCTATGTGCCATCACTCTACAAAGAGCTTGGTGTGCACCATTGCCTCAACTGATGGACAAGATGTGCTTCCATAGGGTTTGGTGAAATCTCTGGAATAATGCTGTTACTGTTTAGTAAGCTGCGTGGTTTCTTTTTCCTGTAAAGAACTGTAAAACCGCAGTTAAAAAACGGAGCCACTATCCTGCACCAGGTCTCTGTGCTTAGCTCTCAGGTTCTGCAAGCTTCTCCACCCAGAATCATCACGCCGTTTGTGAAGCCAGCTCCTTCTAGGGACTTACACACAGCCAAACTGTTGTTTCGTAACTTGCCGGGGAGAATCTAACTGACTCTCTGAGTCAACAAAGCTCGGCAATTATGCCTGTCAACAGGTCGCTGTTTTACATGGATAAAACATCCATGACTGGGCCACACTGTTGAGGACTGTGGACTGCAGTTAGTTAGTGTTAATGCACTTTCGCAGATTAAAGACCCAGATGGAACATTGAATGATGCTAATGTCACTACGAATAATGCTTTGCATGGCTACCTGTCATCATGTGGTTTTTGGAGTTTCCCGTTCCATGATGTCATAAAACCAAAGATGAGCGAGACTGACCTGACAATCTAGACTTTTTCTGGAGGTTAGTGGTGATAACAGTACTTTTTCTGTTGCTTTAACTGCATTTTAGATTGTTTTTGCAAAATTTCCGTTGGAATTATGTAGTTATTGATAAACGTGGGTGTGTGCTATAAACATGGGTGTGTGGGTCTCGATGATGATGATGACTTATTGCATGATCTGAAAGTGGGTAACAACATTTGGATTAACCACAGTATCTGCCCTTTAACTTAAAAATCTGTTAAGGGAGGCAAGGCAAACATACCAATGTCATTGGTGTAGAAAGTGGGAAACTTGCATGTGGAGGGCTTTTACCTGCAAAGTGGCTTGGCTAGGGAGGTGCTTGCAAGTCCCCACCCAGCCACCTTGTATAGTGCACATGGCCCTGTGGTCATTAGTAATCTGATAGCTGGCGTTAACACTTCAGGTCAAAACGTTCTTTTTTAATTAATGAGATAATCATACTATTGGTTCCCCAAAAGTGGATCACAACCCAGGCACATTTTTGGTGGTGAGGCAGGGTTCAAGAAAAAGTTCTTATGGTTGGGTCAGTATAAAGGGAGAGTGTGTATGGGAGTGCTCTGGAGCCTGGGAATAGGAGGAAGGGAAAAAGTAGCGGGATGTATAGTCCATAAATGATATCTTGAGTGATTTCTGCTCAGTAGAGGGATTGCACTGAGGGATTCACACGGATTCTACCACGTGTTCCTCAGGACAGTCTAACGAGATGGGTCTTGATCTTAGCCCCTGTTTATATACGGAGGAACTGAGGTGCAGAGAGGCTTAGTAATTTGCTCAGGGTCGCACTGCTAGCAGATGATGGAAGCAGGGCTCACGTTTGCACCATCCTTGCACCATCCTGACCCTCCAGTGTGAAAACCTGGGATATTTGAGAGAAAGGAACCCCAAAGGAGGCATGACAGATGCAGGAGTGGGAAAAGGCGACCTTCTTTGAGATGAAGCCCATAATGAAGGAAATCAGGAGAGAATTAGAGAAAACGTCAGCTAAAGAGAAGACCCAGGGCTGGAAATGTCACATGGCAGGAGGAGGGGATGAGATCCGCAGGGCAAGGGATGAGGGTCTCGCTTGAACACACCCAAGAGAAGGGCGTGGTGAGGGAGAAGGGCTCAGAGGGGTGTGCAGCATGAATGGAGAGACATGGACCAGAAAGCCTTAATTCTGATGGAAAGAAGGAGCCATGACTATGTTCAAAAGTGAGGGAAGAGTATGTAAAAACACCCGCAGAGAGAGATTGGACATGAGAAGCTGCCTATGTAGCTCCGTCCCTGGGGGACCATTCTGACATGCACCTGGGACCAGTGTGTGACCTTCCCAGTCATCTCACCTTTGACTGCCCACCTGTGCAGGTAGAGATACAACCATCAAGCTCTAAGATCCCTTACTGTGGCAACTTCCTACTCATATTGTAAAATTGTATTATTCCACACTTTTCCCCTCACTTTTATTTTGTGGTTTCCTTCTAATCCCTGTTGACTTCATGAAAACAGAACAAAATACAATGCCATGATAAGGCCATTGTAGAGTTTTTAAGCTTCTAACATTTTAAAATATAACATAATACATTAGATTATAAGCATTAAAAAAACATTTTGCAGAGACAGGGTCTCGCTATGTCGCCCAGGCAGGTCTTGACTTGGCCTCAAGTGACCCTCCCACCTCGGCTTCCCAAAGTGCAGGGATTATAGACATGAGCCACCATGCCCATCCTAAAACATGATATTAAGTGACACTGAAAGGAAAATAGTATTTTCTTGCTGTGACATCCTCAGGGGCACCATTTAGCACTGTCTGTAGTTTGATGATTCTGAGGTCTCCAGTGAAGGTGTAGGTGGTGGTGTAAATTGGAACCACCACTGAAGCCTTAACTAATCTTTTGCTTGGTCTTTGACTGTAGGGTAGTATTTGATCTCTCTACCTCTGCTGTCCAGAATGGGAAAGAATTGCATTTGGCTTAGTTAAGGGGGCTAAGCATGTGTTATTTAAGTACTGTGCATATAAGGCCCGGGCACTCCTGCAGGAATTAATGCCTGGTTGGTGTTTCAGTGATAGTCTGGAGAGCAGCCAAGGGCCATGCATTTGTCATTGGCTGTTGACATCCAGGAAGAGTGGAAGTCTTTGCTATTATAAACAGCAATCAAATGCATGGAATTATGCAAGAAGGAGGGTATAACTTGGGCTCTGTATTATATCTTTAGTAAGGGATAAAAGTGAGGGTATTTTGTAAACTTCTTTTAGTATTGTATGCAGCATAATTCCCTGCAGAGAAAGGTAGTTTGATAGCTTTTCTGTAATAACAACAAGCTACGCAGGTCCCAGACACACTCATCTCAAAGCCATCTGTGTTGTGCATCTCCAAGGCATCCTGAGCCCCAGACCACAAACATTTGTGGCCTCTGCTTCTAGGCAGCTGCTGCAATGGTGGGCTGGTGGTGGATTCTGGACTGGTTGCTCTTGGGAAATACTCATCCCAGTGAGTGTGGATGCTTGTTCATGGGATGACTGGGAATTGAGACTACATTTGGGGGAATTCCAGATGTTTCCAGGCTGACCATAGGCTTCTTGGCTTTCATCAAAGGGACCAGAAAGGGTGTAAACTTTCAGGGTAAACCCAACATGGCATGGGTCCTTGGAAGGTTATTCAAATCAGAGGCAATCCCCTAATCTCAGAGCTCCTGTTACTGCCTCAAACTGAAACCAGCATCTGCTCGTCTATTCCAGACAGAAAGCAAAAGTGAGAATCCCCTTCAAATGAGACTCCTCTGTTTCCTGCCAGTGATTATATATTACAATATTAAATTTAGAAAACAAAACACAGACATAAAAATGATGACATCAGCGATAGCAAGTCTCTCTTCATATATCCACAAGTATGCCTGTCCTTTGAAAACTCTGCATTTTGGTCACTGACTATGACACAGAGATGTTCAAGGTACTGGAAAGACACAAGGACAAATATGTAGTCCAGCAAGTCAGCAGTACCTGGAATAGTCACCCCAAGTCATAGAACACAGGAATTTTATAAAAGGAAATAGCAAATCAAATTCTACATGCCTACCTGTGTTCATTGCAGTGCTGCTAATGATTAGCCCCAGCTAGACAGGATGAAAATATCAAACAACAGGGAAAAGAGGGATGATTAAATGATTCACAGAGTTGACTCCCTTGAAGTGGCAATGCATGGACTTGGGAGGGTGTCACTCTCCAGCTATGTCTCGCGGCTGGTGCCATTTATGTCCTAAACTGGTATCTGCTATTTGTGGGACTATTGCAGTGTTTTAAAATATTCTGAGAAGCATTAGTCAAGCATAGACCAGTTATTACATAATTATAACCAAGCGTAGTTGTTCAGTAGGGAAGGGTGTGAGGTTCTCGTGGGGTAAACTTAAAGGAGGTCAGGCAGATTTATTGAGCAAAAATCAACTAAACAAAAAAGAAATGTAAAAAGTGAAGGGTGAGATGGTTTACAAATTGGCCAGTCTGTTATCTCTTAAGCTGCCCCCTCATGTTTGGTATCAGAAATTACAGGAGAGAAGGCACAAAGCCCTCATGCTAGGCCAAGGGGAGAAGACTCCTGGGTCACAGTGGGTCTGGATGAGGTCTGGTCCTCCCTGGGGGTCTGGTGGTGGTCGGCAGCTGGAAACTGTCCAAGAAGGGCTTAGCCCTTTTAATCTACTGCCCGTTCTCCCTTTGAAGGGTCTACAGCTACAAGCATCTGAGAATTATGCCATCTTCAGAGGCATCCTGTGCTGCACGTTGCTCAACTTGCTTGACTTCAGGCTGACTCAGAAGGAAACTGGGAATTATTCCTTGACCAGAGGGAGGGCTGCTCTGCGGGAATTATGGAGACTGTGTTGCAGCGCGAGAACGCTTAGGTGATGAAGATAAGCAAACATATTGGAGTGTAAAAATGCATGCCAGCTATGTGTTTGGTGATCATAACCGTATAAAATGCGCGCATATGTTAACTAAGAGTAGAAAGCAACTCTGTGGAATGGTGGGGTGAGGAGTGTTCCCTTTCCTTTTTTCCCCCCAAGTTTTATTTTATAATCTTACATCAATTTTCTTAAATATGAAAAAGAAGACAAACTTCCATTTCTCAACAACCTTTTTAGTTAGGTCAGTCCTTTACAATACATGTATTTTTTATTATTGTATCTCCAAGGAGCCTTTTTTAAGCATTTTAAAAATCTGAATCTCCAACCCCATGAAATCGTCATGCTACAGACATACTGTATGTCAGTTTATGTACTATAGGCATATCTGTGGTTTAGACATAAAACGAGTGGTGTGTTCTTCCTCCCTCCCACCAAAAAGCATGTTCATCCTTTTGAGAATCTAGAATTCAGGGTTCAAACAGGCATCTGGGACAAGGCACAGATGGGACTAGGGCACACATGACCTAGTAAGGGACTGCACAGTAGAAAACCTTACATGAGTGGAGAAACAAGAAAGGAAGAAATTTACTGGGTCAAGTTTGAACTTTCAATCTTCAGCTCAAAGCTCAAATTTAGAACCCACTGAGAAATACCAGTGAATCCAATGCACATTTGGTATCAGTGAGAAGAAATCCCTTCACTAAAACCAAAAAGAAGTTTGTTTTAAATTATACTTTCAAGTCCACTGGCAAAAAACTACTGGGGTGGTGCATACTATGCCCCTTCACCACGCCATGATCTGTGAATGTCATGGCTGCACATTGGGCTACGGACAGAGCCTTCATGCTTTGACATCTAATGAGAGACACTCCACCCAATAATAATTATTAACTTCTAATGTCCCACTGCAGTATACCCAGACTAATTATACTGTGCGTTTGTGGAGTCTTTCATCCTTTCATTTTTAGCCAGTTTGAAAATGAGGCCCCAAGGGTGTGAGACTATCCACAGGAGAAGAGAAAATATTAATCTTTATGACTCTTCAAACATTAGCTTCTTTTTCTTCGGAGGAGGATTTTTGGCTTTGCCTTCTTGTCGATGTTCTCTTTCCTACTTGAGGATTGACGAGGTGTAATGGGAGTACCGAACACGTTTTGCAAGTCTTGTCTTGTACGTGTTGACAGAATTTAACGAATTTATTAGATGGAACCAACTCTTGTCAGGAGGAAAATCTAATTGGCTGGCAATAGAATAGAACAGACACAAATCTGAATAATGAATGCACTGTATTTTTTTTTCAAGCAGTAAGAACCCCAAGATATTTCTGCAACACAGTTTTTCATTTGGTTTTCCTTATAGTTTCTAGGGTTTTCAGAGATTTTTAAGAGGCTATCTTCTGCTCCTAAAACATTTACTAAACATAATTTCCCTTTTGCAGGTCTAATGACACCAAATCTAATTCCTTCAACTTTACCTCGGGAGAACATGTATTGAAATTTAAAACATCATTTTTAATACTTTAAATAAATTGATCACAGAATTTACTATTCAGATTGAATTTCTAGTATCAATTGCTTTTCAAAGCTGGGTTTGCCTATTTTATCCAAATTGTGGGATATAGAGGAAAGTAAATTAGTCATGTCCAAGCCAATGGGGAACATCTAAAATAGAGAAAGAAGAAACCAGCATGAACAAAATGATCTCTCTTTGGTGCTTGCCCAGGATTACATATGCAAGTCCCTCTATAAAATAAAATAAATAGATTTGGTCTTTTGGCAATGGAGTGAGGTGCCAAACTTAGGCTATAACAACCTCCTTATACATGACTCATAGCACAGCTTTGGAAGTTCCTGTCCACCCCAGGTGAGTAGAGACTACATTAACCAAATTCATGCATGGAGCAAAGGTAGCATTTCAATCAGGGATTGATTATATTGCTGCTTTCATTAAAGTATCCATAATTTGCTTTAAAAGTTTTTTATTTTTTCATATTTTCATGAATCAAGGTGAGAATTCAGTATGATTAATGATGGCTTAGAGCAGTGGTCCCCAACCTTTTTGGCACCAGGGACCGGATTCATGGAAGACAATTTTTCCACAGGTGGAGCTCAGGTGGTGGCCCAGTTCCTAACAGGCCGAGACCGGTACTCGGCTGCTGCCTGGGGGTTGGGAACCGCAGGCTTAGAGGATCAGGGTGTGTATGGGTTGGTGTTTGGCACCAGTTTTGGAGAAATCTACCGAGAGATAACTAGATGGGATCTTGGTGACTGTCTTGCAGGAGAACTAGCCAGGTTATGGCCCTGGTTACGGTAGGTATGGACCCTTCAGACTTCTGGGTGTAGCTGTGAAGAAAAGTATGCTCAGAATGATAGAGGTATGATAGACGTCTTAAATGCATGTATATGTTATTTTTGGTGCAATCATAATATACTGAGAAAAATGCCCAGAGTCTCCAGACTGTCTCTGGTGAGATAAAAAGTTTCACCAAATCACATTAAAAATTCACAAGAATGCATAGCAATGAAAAAATCATTTATTTAGTAACAAGAATGAGGCTGAATTTTTCATATGCTGTCTTAAGCCAGATAGCTCCATACAACCAGGCGTAACACTGGGGGGAAGGCACTGATTTAAAGACCTTATAATTTCACACCTTATAATTTCACACCAGATGGGAGCACATGAGGTTCTCCACATTTTATGTTTCTACCAGCTTTGAGCTCTTTTAATTCAGGCACCATGTTTACTCACCTCCAGAACTAGATATGCTATTTCATCCAGTGTATGCTACAAAATGGACTGCTCAAATTCCAGTATAAAACTTTATATTTATTTTTTCATTCTAAACTTTTACAATCTTGACTCTTCTACCCAGCTGTCCATCCTAACTTTTTGTTACCTGAAAATGTGATTAGCATGTCTTTGTAACTTCATCTGAATTAACAGTTATTGATATTTAAATAAACAATGCTATATTTGTAAAATTCTGATAAATGTCATTGACTTTTCTTTGATAGGCTACAAAATACAAACACTGAAACAGAAAGCAGTAGAGAGAAACCATGCATATAGTTGTTCACCAGACAGATACTTGTTGAGGGCCAGGCACTGTGGGGAAAACAGATGTGACCCTACCCTTGAGACAAACATAAATCAAAGGACAGAGCATGTAAGTAAATTTAGAACCACAATTGCCAAAGGGAGGTGCCTGGTATAGTAGGGGACATGGACCAAGTTAGGAGGTTAGGGAAGACTCTCTCAAGGAAGTGATGATTAAGCCGGGTTCTAAGAAGGAGAAAGGCTTCATAAGGCTTCATAAGGCATAAGGATTTGTTGGGGATGTAATCAAAGGTAGCATAGCATAGGAGGAGAGCTCCAAAGAGAGAAGTAGAAAGAGCCAGATTCTCCAGGCCCTTTTAGATCACTGTACGGATTTGGATTTTTATCCTAAGAACCACGAGAGACCAGTGTTTTAAGGAGGACATGAAGCGATCAGACTTGCATATACAAAGGCTGTGCTGTCCACTTGGAGAACGTGGATTGGAGGAGCTAAGTTGGATGTTGGGTGTCATTGGGAAGCAGCTTGGGTTAGGGCAGAGGAAGTCAAGAGATGGAGAGATGTGTGTGAATTCTTTGCTGGGATAGAAATCCAGAATAAGGTATTAGAAACAGGTACTTCTCTTTCATATTTTGACTTAGGTTGGCACATTCTAGAATTCATCAGTTTAAGGTCTGAAAATGTGGACACTGTGATGCTATGAAAGCAGCCAACTAAGAGATATGATACAAAGGTTCCTGGCCCAGCTCAATTGCTTTTTACCTATGTGACCTTGGATGAGTCCCTTCATCTCCCTGGCCTCAGTTTCCTTATTCATTCAAAGGAGGGCGATTCCTTTCCAAGGTTCCTCACAAACATGATATCCTCAGATGGATCACATAGTCTCTTTTTGCACTTTTTCAGGTAACTCAGATATTCTGACTTCCTTTCAGACAGTTTATTTCATGCCAGAGATTAAGTATTGGGGCAGTTTTCAACTTTTGGCTTTTAAAATGTAATAGCTTTTCCTGAAGAAGTGGTAAAAACAGGGCATAAGTGTCAATTTGGGTCTTCCCCTAAGTGCCATGGGAACTTCAACTTTACTAAAGACAGGACAGAGTTGCACTGGGTGGAAATTTAAAACAAAGACCCATTATATACTTATATACACAAAAGGACTTACATGAGAGTGTTCATGGGGCACTGTTTGTAAATATCAAAAACGAGATCAATGGTGGAATGTATGAATGAATTGTGACATAATCCATATGATGGAATACTACACAGAAATGAGAAAGAACCAATTACTCTTATAAGTAACATTGCTGATGAAGCTCACAAATAATGTTGTACAAGAGAAGGCTGACACAAAGGGTGCATTCTGGATGATTCCATTTGTATGAAGTTCAAAGACCAGGGGAGCCTATGTGTGGAGACTGATCAGGGTACATTCGGGGCAGAGCAGTAGTGCTGGGAAGGCCAACACTACCCCTCCAAGGGGGCCTTCTGGGGTACCAGAATGTACTATTTTCTAATCTGGCATGGGGGTTACATGAATACGTTCATTTTCAGAAAATTCACCGAGCCACCAACTTATAATTTTTGCATTGTCCTGTATGTGCATTTGCTTCAATACAAACATTTTCTTAAAAAATTGGAAGTGGAGAATTCAGTTCTCCCCAATGCCTAGCCAGCACAAGAGTTCTGTCAATCAAGAATATACTCAACAATGCAGCATGCACAATTGTTAGTGTCAGATGCTTCATTAATAGAAGTGTTGTGTCATTTCTTTGCATTGTGTGCTATTCCAAGCATTTGTCATCTTTCCTACATTTATAATATACAGGAACGTCATTACTTGCTTCAAGTAAATATTCGCTTTTATATCAATGCTTTGCTTTAACTAAAAAGAAAGATAGTGTGTAAAACTGGAAACCTATCTTCTTAAATCATTGCACCTACAGATCACATTGCAATCAAAGCAAACAGGTTGAAGAGGTGTTGTCAGTCCTGCAGCTGCCGCTCAGCTGAGACGCCTGAGAGAACTTTCTGTATGTTGCATTATCACCCTGGGTGTCCCTTAAATTCTTATTTCATCGTTCATGGTTGTGCAAACAGCAAAGTGTTGCCAAAAGCTGACGCTTAAGGATTATTGCCATGCTATTCATGGTTTTGGTGTTTCCAAACTGTGAATCCCCGAAAAGCTTTCATAAAGAGATATATGATGTCTCAGAAGCATTTGAGGGATTTCTACAAGAGGGAGTGCTGTCCAAACCCTGCCCCAGTCTGGTGGTTCTCAATCTCGGCCGTAGGCTGGCATTACCTCGAGAGTCTCAACCAAAGCGGATGCCTGGATCCCAACCCCAGAAAGTCCAGCTTTATGGGTGGGGGCGTGGCCTGGGTACTGGGAGTTTTTAAAGCTCACCAGGTGATGCTCATGTCCAGACAGGTGAGAACTGCTGTCCTTGTCAGTTTTCCTTCTGTGTCTCCTCTTGCCATTTCTCCTGGGGGTGTGCTGAAGACACCCACTCACTCACTCGTCCCCACAGATCTAGCCCTAGAGAACATTGTGAGAATCTCTTCCCAACTGGTTTAGGGACATTACCTTGGGAACCTGCAATTGGCATGGTGGAAGCATTTCCCCCACGGGAGCCCACAAACCCTACAAATCAGTGTCCCCCCTTCCTGCCCCCCCAGAGAACGTTCATAAGCTCCTCACTGACTGCTCCTTATTTTACCCTCATGTTGGATGTTGCAAGGGAATAGAGATGAAATTCATTTCTTGTTGACAAAGGTGAAGATGTCCACACAAATCTGATGAGTGACATTGAGGTTGCATCTCAGAGTTCTTCATTACTGTCTTACTCAAGTCATTTAGCACGCAAGCAATTGGTTTTTCAAAATACAATCAGAAACAAGGGAAAATGTTTCCCTGGCCATAGTGAATGCAAAACCAGTCATTTTGGAATATATAGATAAGCTTCCTCTCATTTCTTTCTTTTTTAGTTTCTTTTTTTCTTTTGTATGAAAGGTGTCAAAAAGATGAAAGAAAAAGCCTCTATAAAACAGGCTTTCTGTTTTCTTTATGTAGGGGACAAAGGAGTCATGATTCAGGAGGTCAAGGGCATTCAGAGGCTGTGCTGTCGAGGTGGCTGCACTGTACAATAATTACTATAATTAATTATATACTGTGTTTATGTGTACTATAATTAATTTCTACAGAGTTTGCCCATCCTGCTCTTCAAAGGGGAAATTTAGGGTCTGACATTGCACTGAGTTTGAGAGGCTTTGTGGACACAAGGGGCAGAGAGAGGGCCCAGAACTGTCCTGGGGCAGTAGCAGAGGGAGTCTTCACTTCCCCAACCGTCACCAGCGTCAGCTGAAGCAGGACAGGTGGCAGTGGTAACACAACGGAGTTGTCCTATTCTCCGGACAGTCGGCACCTTTGAATAAGGGCAGCCTCA